GGCTATGGTGTGTGAGCGTTGGCAGATTTTGTTTGGGGTGTGTTAGAGGTTGTGACAAAGAAGGAAACAGTGTGTTTAGCGATGCAGAAGGAATGCATTGGAGGTGCGAAACCGCGTGGATCTCTCTGTGTGTGGAGATGATGACAATTGGACATTTTGTTGGGGTGTGTGGGAGTTTGGTATTTGCTTCTTTTCCAGAGTTTTTGGTGTAGGTGGGTTTGGCAATGTGGTGTGCATGGGTATGTGTTTGTGTGAGTGAAGGTGGAGAACGAGACTATACGATTAGATGGTTGGGAGGTGCGTTTTGTGAGGGTGTGTTTTGGTGTGGCATGCTTTGTGCATGCGCTATGTTAGTTGAGGATATTTGGGAGGGAGGTAAGAGGAGTGCAGCATTGGGTTGGTGATATGAAGGTAGCTCTGGTTCTAAAGAGTTGCACATGTTCCAGATCGTATGTGCTTTGCATGGTTGGTAAGTGGCATGGGTAAGTGTTTGATACTTGATAATGTGTTAGTGTTCTACGTTATAGGGGGATTAGGCTAGGCGGCGCGCGTGGATTTGTTTGTGTGAGAGACGGTGAAAAGGGAGATTGAATGATAAGATTGGGATGATATGCGTTTTGCTAGGACATAGTATATTGCAACGTGTTTCGTGCATTAGCTGAAGGGTTGTGAATACCTTAAAGGGAAGGCTACAGCATTGGCGTATTGCGGTGGAGATGGGAGGGTCGGTGTGGGGTGTATGTTCGATGAGGGCAGATATGTCTCCGATTCGTCGGAGTACATGTTTGTTGTTAAAGCAAGGCTTGCTGTCCAGGTAGTTGTTGGAAGGTGGTTTGTTGCAAAGTGTGTAATGCTTGGGGATTTTGTTATTTGTGTTGTTTTGTTGAGGCGTGTTTGTTGGGTGTGGCGGTTGCTCTACAGGTGGAGGTGCGTTGGCAGTGTTCAAGGGCGTTTGTCAGTGGGCTGAGGAGCACGTAGGTGGACGCATGTGGGAATGCTTGGGAGTGAGCTGTGCGTGTTTTGGAGTGGCGAATGGCAGCTTGGATGTGTTGGATGATGTTAGGAGCGTGTTCAGTGGTTGTGTGGGCTTGTGGGAGGATGTGGGTGTTTATCGTTCTTGGGAGAGATGGAGCAGGCAGGGTGCGTAGGTCCTATTTGTGGCAGTGTGAGGCATCTTTTAGGCGGTTCAGGGAATTCCTTGAATTTGCACGCGAAGCTTTGTTGGACGTGTTTAACGTTTGTGCTAAGGCATAGAACGTGTGTTCTGACGATGAGTACTTGAGGAGCGAAACAGGAGTTCTGTTCCTATCGGTGTTCATATAGGGATGATGTTCTCTCTACTGCCAGCCTCTGGAATTCCACTGTTTTGAAGGAATCGCGTTTCCAGACCTTCAGATGCTCTATCTTGTTGGCTTAATTAAAATGTGCTTTATTAACTACTATTTCGAGACCCCCGTCACAGAAAGCCATTTCACACGTAGTCGTGCTCTGTGTGGGTAACGGCCTAACCGTCGGTGGCCCTATAGCATAATTTTTTCCCAAATGGATGGCAAACGTGGTGAGGTATTCGTTATGCATACCGGTGCTTGTCATTAGACGACCAGGTAATTCAGAGCACCAGCACAACAGTATCTATCAAATCTTCAGGTGCGGCTGTGCCTTAGGTCCCCGATAATCACTGCAGCCGAGCACGCAAATGGACTAAGAGGCTAGTATAGTATTCTGAGACTTACGATTCTGAAGGTTGCTTTCAGCGCTCAGCGATCTGTACAGTTCTACTTCTCAGCCAATGATAAACACTATCCTGGAGCACATTTGGCATACGCTTTCGATTTACGTAAACGTAAATTCCAAATTTAAAAATCCAAAAAGCCAAATATCGGCAGTTTCTGTATGTGTATCTGTATATCTTTATCTTGCCTATAGACATGTTAATGTTTCGAATTGGGCCTTCATTTAGTGGACCTCTTCATAGCATTTGACTCTTCTCATCTTACTTGACCTGTGGGCTACTAAAGCTATTGTATTCCTTTCGTCTATAGTGGTCGAGTTTGGCCATTCAGCCTGGCTCTCTGCACCAACAGTCCGGACACCGCTTCAAAATTTCAGCGCTGCCCTGCTTCGCCTGCCGTGTATTCCTCTTCCTTTTCTTTGCTTTATACATACAAACTGCATCCTTCTGGGTCGCAATATTCATAGCTTGTCTCTTGTAAATTGATGGGAAGTCGGTAGCGCTGAAAATCGGCGGGACTGTCAATGACGTTCCTGCCGCTCACATCGTTTAGCTGGCCATGCGACGGAAAATGTTATCTCACTTGTTTCTGGCAAGGGACGCTAGCCCATTCGCATGTGCCATTGCCGGACTCGCCAGCTTCGTGTTTGCAGGTATTGCTTCTGCATGCAGTCAATCAAGCGAAGGCGTTGGTGGATGTGATACGTGGGATGAACAATTCGCTGCAGATTCTAGGTATGCAGCATGTTCACTTAAGGTTCGGCCTATCAATGATCATCTCTACCTTGCTCAAAAGTATTATATAACAACCGTGCTTAGACAGCAGTTGCGAATAACTCTATAGAGCGTTGTGTTCTCTGTAGAGTTAGTCCACATTTAGTGCTGCCTTCATAAGCCGCTGGCATGGACTCCTGTACACTGTGAGTGCATATTTGGTAGCGGCAGCCGATTGTCGCATCAAAAGCACCTATCATGGCTGTCCCTGCACGGGTAAGGAAAATGGTTCATGATGTTTGGAACATATGCACACCTGCAGGTTAAATTGTGAAGCCATGCTCGGTGCCATGTTCTGGTGGTTGTGCCACAGTGCAGCCCGAGGAGGTGTTGCGTGTATGACTCGTCAGGGTAACGAAAGCGTGTTTAATATGCCATATGTTTAGATGCAGTCCACGGTAAAGTGAAGCTCTGCGCCGTGTGACAAGGAACAGCAGCCCTGTAGCATTCATCAACATCCGTAGTTAAATTAGAGAAGTTTGTCAACCAGTTATATCGGTACAGCTGAGCTCGAGCGATGGTCTCAATACTTCTAAATGGAGCTCCCGAGTGACAAAAAGAGCTCATTGCTGAATTCTACCTTCATATGGGTAAACAGCACCTTTTGCATCGGGACACGTTCCGCTTGTGCTACCGTGTATAGCTGAAGTGCAAGTAAGGTCAGGTTTTCATTTGACGGGAGCCGCAGCAACTGCTTCCTGACTAGGGTGCGTTTATGCGTTATTGGCGACTGCCTGTGCTCTTCAAGCGCAATTAAAAGTTGTCCTCACGGATTGTATGTACATTTGGGGAGCACGTCACGCCCTTTCAGGGCATGGTGTAGGATATCTTTCCCGCGGCCAATCGGCACGAAGGAGCGATGCTACAACATGCACTAACAAACGTGTTTTCGTAGCGTGCGCTGACGTATACGTAGGTTTGATGCAGTACAGGCGTGCCGAAGGGTGGGTCTACATATGCATTTGGAAACGCATATAAGATATGTATATTTCGTCTAATCCACAGTGAGTGCGGTTCACCAATATTCAATGTTTACTCCATGGGACAAGTAGGTTCGCATCAGCCGAGATCCACTAAACGCGCAAGGAAGAATCTCGATGAGCAAAGTCTAGAAAGCATCACGTAATCCGAAGGTGCAGCCTATGTAGGCGCCCAAACCCATTTTCCCCTGCGTCACATAGGATTTATCTGCACACCCCGTAATGACACGTTTGCATCGAACGCCCTGTTGAGCAATTCATCTTAAAAATGTTTTTAAACGAGACCCGGTCCAGCACGCGACCTTAGGGGCCTCGCCTAACCTCACAGATATCGGTTTTCTGGGAGCACGCCGTGGGGCTCTCATGGTTTATGCTTTAGTGTTTAGGTCTTAGGGTTTGGGGTTTAGGGTGTTTAGGGTTTGGCGGTTTTAGGGTTTAGAGGTTTTTGGGGCTTACGGATTTAGGGTTTGCTGTTTTTAGGTTTAGTGGTAGGGTTTAGGCACCCACCAGGCACCGTGATCGCTCTTTGCCACATTGAGGCTACACA